TTTTCATCAAGATACATGTACATAATTTTCTGCATCCCAAATTTTTGTTGACTCTCTGTTGGTGTTTTTTTTTCAATATCGAGCCTCTTATAATTTGTTACATAGTTGAAGTAGTTCTAGAGAATTTGTGTCTACACTTATGCTTTAGTCTATCTGAAGTGTCACTTTAAAAGCTGTAGTTTGAATGTCAAAGAAGTTAATTTCCAGACTGCTGTTGACAAACTTATTGTTCATTTTTAATTATTTTTTTTTCAATACAGCACAGTAAGTTTTTCTTTATTATTGAGTTGATGTGTATGCCTTTGGCAAAGCTAACATCTGCCTTATCCTCTTGCCTTTTCAAAATCAAAGCTGATACCTGTGACAGTAATACAGTACGAAATGTGTACATCAGCATGTGCCTCCTACAAATAAAGACTTGTTGTAGTTGTTTTGATACACTGTGGTTAAATTCGTAATAATTGCTCCGTAGTCCTGTGGTTTTAGTAGCATTTTTTTTTTGGTCGAATTTTTTTTTTTTTCGCCCTCTCGCATTAGTTTTGGGGTCTTCAGAGGATGTCATCCATAAAATTAAATCAGTGTGGCCTTATGATGACTTTATTGTTCTTGTCCATATTTGGTCAGAAATGTTCCCTCCTAAATTTTAGCCAGTATTTTCCACACAAAATATTTAGATATGTTATTACAATGTTTCAGAACTTTATACTCACTTTTGAAATGCAAAGTAAAGATACTATCCTTCCATCTATCTGTTATTTAATCTAGATTCTCAATGGACAAGCTTCTAATAGTTATTCCATGTTTTATGAGAAAATTTGTTTGATGACCATACATTTTTAGTCCCCGTTCGGTCGCAGTCCGAAAAGGGGACTTACGTTTTGACCCTTGTGCGTCCGTGCTCCCGTTCGTGCGTGTGTGCGTTCTGACCTGTATCTTGGAAATGCCTAGACCAATCATAATCAAGCTTCACACATACATCATAAATGATAGTATACATATGCACATCAATTTGTTCAACGATCTGATTCAATATGGCCGAATGGCGGCCATTTTTGTGCTAAAAAATCATCAAAATCAAGCATTTCTCGGCTATTTACATATGGATTTTGTTCAAACTTGGTATATACATTAGACATTATGGACCTTTGTGCAAATAATTTTCTTTTTCAGATAAGATTCAAAATGGCCGACTGGCGGCCATTTAGTTTTAATGAATGGGCTTCTCGACCCATATCTCTGACTTGTTTTGACTGATTATGTTCAAATTTTTAATATTCATTATACATCTTGTCATAGATATACAAGTCTATTGGTTTTATGATCCTATTCAAAATGGCCTAATGGTGGCCATTTTTGTGCTAAAAAATCATCAAATATTAAGCATTTCTTGCATTTATGGATAGATTTTGTTCAAACTTGGTACATACATTAGACATTACAGGTTCCTGATGCACATCATTTTATTTTTCAGATCGGATTCAAAATGGCTGACTGGCAGCCATTTTGTTTTAATGAATGGGCTTCTAGACCCATATCTCTGACTTGATTTGACTGATTATGTTTACATTTTATATATTCATTATACATCATGTTATATATATACATGTATTCAAAATTGCTGATTTTGAATGCTGTTCCAGAGCAATATCTCTCAATATGGACAAGTACTTGTTAGAGGATCAGATACAAATGTCCATCATTTTAATGTTAAACAATCATCATAATCATATTCCTGACATAATTATATTCCAGCAGCTATATTACTATAAACAAAACTATATATCTTAAATTCGCTAACTAACGGGAACTGTGCTATGCATGACTTGTTTTTACCAAATTTTGTGAGCAACAGGATAAAAATAAAAGCACTTTGTGAATGTCGAGTAAATCTGGCGATAAATGTTGGGCTCCTCTGTGCATACATTGTAGCACACAATGGTCTTTGGAATTACTGTAACCTGTCTGTCTGTATGTATGTATTAGTAGTGTTCACGCTACACAAAGAACGAGCTAAGATTTAAGCTAATCTCATATGTTTGCATATCGGATAAATTCAATGCACCACAGGAAACAGTGGTTAGCACAGGCTAAGAAACTTCTTAAGATTAAGAATTTACAAAAATCTTTGTTCATTTTAAATAGGATTACTCAGTACAGTAACTAGAAGGTATGTATGTTAGTTCTATGCTCATTGTCAATGGAAAACAATGTCCCTTGATGTGCCCACGTTGATTGTTATATCAGAAATGGCATTCCGAAAAATAATTATGAATATAATAGTAAATCGTCCAAATGAACATTGAATACATGGCGTTTTGGACGCTTAGCCCGAGGTAAGTGTTTATGCACATTTTCTTAGCACAGGCTGTAAGGTATTTGACCTCTTAGTCCGTGCTGAAGAGCTGTGCGTGAACGCTACTATTATGTGGAGATAATATATATGACCAAAATATTAAGTCATTATATATGGTCATTATTTCATTAAATATTTATAATTGTTTAACCATAGCTACTCAGAACCACCCGACTCATTGCTTGCAGTTATATATATATATATACTAAATATATAGTAAATACAATATTCCTTATTTGTACTTCATGCCTTCAATAACTTCAGCACATACCGGTAGGAGTTATTTCTAAGCTTTCTTTGATTTAGGGTTGGATTTCATGCATACTAATTTGCATAAATTAGCCAATTTATATGCCTTCCACAGATGTCTTCAGTACCACCCATCAAATTAATTATTAAGGATGTAGTAGAGGTTTTCTTCAAAAATATCAAATTTAATTTTTTCCGCATTCTCTTATACGAATATATAAAGCATGCAATTAACTAGAGAAAAACAATTGTAGCGATGTTTTAAGAAAGTAATACATTTTGAGTATTAAACTGAGATACAGTGTGTTTTATGTGATTTTCACTCATGAGAAAACATTGGTATTTGGGGTTTGTCTAGAGAGTTGATCTCGACTCTCAGCTGCTCCACAATGGTGATTTTTGGCACAAGTATTCTATGATAGCTGCTAATAAAATCTGGCAAAGATAGTTTGTCTACCAATTTGACTTTAGAAATAAAAATCTAGGTCACGCAACAGTAGACAGGGAAATTGAATTCAAACCTTTTATAGTATATTTATAACCTCTATAACTATTTTTATGTACTTCGTGCCTCAAATGAGTAATACCAGAGGTACATTACTTGGGGTTTGCAACGCGCATAGTACTGTATGGTGACATCATGACAAGATCCCATTCAAGTCTCTTCTCGTAGATAGCGAGACTGAGGCTACGACCTTCTGACATGACACATATCAATGTTCAAGGTTTGTAATGAAAAAAATAAACTTTTCTTGTCACTATCATAGTGAAAAATGTAATACATCGAAAATGTACAGAAAATATAGTTCTCGTAATACGTCATATCGTGGGCAGCTATTTTGATCCACCTGGACATCCCAGTATCCTAGTTACCTCGGGCATGCGCATTCGCATTTTTTCTGAGTTGGAACGCTTATGCGAGAGCGAGATTGTGACGGGATCTTGGTATCATGTCACCGTAGTTACAAACCCCAAGTAATGTACCTCTGGTAGTACACATTCTTCAAGAATGGGCTGAGGTGTCCA